TGAAAACAAGGTAGCCCCTTAGTTTTCACTTTTCTTGTTTTTCTCTTGAAATGAAGCCCACAAGCAGAAGCAGCAATCATTTCATGTCTGAACTAAGTCATCTCCATAACCCTACTTTTTTATCTCCACACACATGATGCCCAATATTGGTTGACAATTAACTACCAATTATTTTGAATATTTTTTTTTTTTTTGGCTAAAGCTTGTTTAAACATTCAATTTTTCACTGACATTTATCCATGAGGCCTAAATGGCTAAACAAAACGTTTCCAAACAGCTAAACTCCACTAATTAATTGTAGCTTCAGTCTTAATAAAATTATCGTTCATGCAATTTATATCTTTAACTATTTATTCTTTTTCTTTTTCTTTAATATCTCCGAAATAAGAAAACATACATTTTTATTTATCAACAATAGCAAGCTTTTTATTCCAAACAAGATTGTCTTGGCAAGAAGTAGGTAATGTGGAAAATTATGTGGCGTCCATATACTTTCGATGACTGGACCACAGCCGCGTGGGCCCTTAGTTGCAAGCATATCATTTCATCGGTCTTGCTGTTAAGCCAACAATTAGTTCCATAGTGGAGCCAACCCTCTATATAAAACAAGTAAATCTACCATATTCTCTAATTACTTAAATAACACTAATATAATTTTATTAATATGGTATGATTTACTTGCTGCATATAGCAAAACCGATCATTTTATTCATATATTATATTAATTTTCTAACACGGCTTCTTGTTTATCGCAAGGAATATGATCGGGCGTTTATAAGACAAGGTTTATACTTAATATAGTCCAAAATGAGTATGAAACAACAAAGCACTTAAATCATTGAACTCAAAAGACCTCATGTGTGTCGTCATTCTCAAGTAGGACAAAGGGGTTCTAACTGTCTACCAAATAAACCACATTAATATAATGTGAATAGAATTAGGTGAGATAATATATAAACTACAATTGTACATGTAGCATTACCCTAATATATAACCTATGTTGAAGACTATTGTATATATTTTTTCATTTTTATTCATTCATCCAACAATCAATGGGGATTGGTAGTTTTTTTGGTTAGTTTGTCTAATGGTTAGGCAGCTATACTATTTTATTATACAAAGTATACATTTTTTATTAGAACAGTTCATCTCACAATGGAATTTGGATAACACTAGTTTATTCTACAATGATCAGAACAGATTACAGTCAAATTACATTGTTTGCAGACAAGTAGTCAATGCCTCAATATATACGAGAAAGATGAATGGAATATAAACCGATGGATTAGGAGGAGCACATAACTGACACAAATTTCAGACAAAAACACACCTGGAGAAGGAATAGTGAGGTAGACTTTATGTCAAATTCAGGACTTGCATTTGATCTCCTGAAAAGCATACTCAGAAAAGTGAAATTCAAAGTCGGGTTAGTTGGTTTAGTAAATTCGTCGATACGCAAATACTATCAGGAAAGAGATAGGACAAGAGATGGTCGAAACGATGTAGTCCGTAAGAAGCTTACTATTGCAAGTGGTAGCTGATTAATGATACTAAGTGGATGATAATTTTATCAAAGCTATAATGGCAGTTTTTCGCGCTACTAAGAAAAGAAAATACAAAAAAAAAACAAGTAAGAAAAAAAAAAAGATGAAAAAATATCGGGTTGTGAGCCTATCGATCAGTGTACTTATTAAGAAGCCGAACTGAAATATTATTTGGACTGTGGGTTCAGATTATTGATATATGTTAGTTAAGATATTAAACCAACAGTATACCTTCAGTCTATAACGATGGTATCGCGACGTTTTCTCTTTCTCCTCCTTGCCTTCCTCAGAATACGTGCAGTTTCTTGCATGGCTTCCTCCACCGAGTATTCATCCATATCTGACCATGAAAACAGTATTACTGAAAATAGAAAGAAAGCACACTGAATAGAGCTACTCTTTTCCTTCAGTTTAAACATATGAACTCACTAATTCAATTAGGCAGTCATGCGTGCATTTGCAGAAATTGGAGAAGATTGTTCTAGAAACCGGAAGTGTCTTTTCATTTTTCTACCAAAATAAATACAATAAAGAAGAACATAAGATAGGTGCGGAATTTGCCTAGTTTTTACCTGTTCCGTTTCCGTTGAGCAAACAGGAAAAACCTTCATCAGTTTCTTCGTCCGAGTCGATAACAACTTTGCTTTCCTGTTCCCTCGTCAATATCCATTATTATATTGTTGTGGTTCGGATGTTTAAATTAAAATGTAATGCGAGTAATTTTAAATGAAATTGAGATGTGATGATAGCTGTGCTGATATTTGATTTGGACAAGTTTTTCGGATATATAGCTTAATATATTATTAGATATCATTGCTCAAAAAAATCTGAGTGTGCGTTGCTTATGGTATGATCACGTTTCCTTCTCGTGCCAATTAAGCTAACATGCACATGGAGAAGTAAGACAATTAAGAGCTACCATTTGATTCAGAGATTTTTTTATTTGGTCATTCGTCGTAAGATTTCCAATGACCCTGGTTGCTTGTTCTGGTTTGACCATAATCCAGCCTCCCGTTTCAACCTTCAGCTCTAGAAATTTTTGCTGTTCTTTCAGGTGACCTTTTGCACTACATACGACAAAAATCTGACTGTCAATATACTAAATAATAGACAAGAACATTAGAACAGATCACAGGACATGTAAATATAAAATTTAAGTGTAGAGGCTATGTACTGAAGCAGGTAATCAGAGCGTGTGATTTTTTGACGACCTTAATGCAGTGCATAGGATAGGTGGCCGATACCCCTTTAAAAGGCCAAATTTGGCTTGTCAAGAGACACAGGCAAACGAGGCTTGATTCTACTTTACACATATAGTCCGATGCATTTTCTTCACCCTATTTATTTTGGAATTTTACTTCGGCTCTGTGACGTTTTACTTTCTTATATACTCTCATGTGGAAACACTGTTAGAGGGGTAGGGACAGCAAATGCCTATTGTTCGATAGGATAATAGTCGAGTTATTTTCTCTCATCATGCCTGTAGCTCAAAGTTTCTCTTGGTTGGAGAAGAACATAAAAAATCATGGAAATGGTTCTCAGATGGTGAAAGAAGCAAGTATCTTCTATGGCACAAAATGCAGAAGCTCGAAACAATGAAATGGTTCTCAGACTTTTAAACTTGAGCTATTTAAGAGATGGGTATAATGAACCCCTAGAAGCTTGTGCACTTTGTGCACCAGAACAGGACTTCTAATTTTGGGCCACACCTCCATGGAACACTTAATATCGTCTAGAAGTTTTCAAACATCATTGAAAACTCAAAACATATTTCATAAGTTAGCCTACATAACCTCACGAATGAATTTGGTTTATAGTTGATCAGGGGATGAGTTACAATGAAGATGAAGATACAATGACTGTTAATGAAAGCCTTGAGTACATACTTGTTTGGATACTGATCCTCCTGATGAGAAGCATGACGGCTGACAGCCTATAAATACGTAGTACATCAAGGTTTCTTTGAAAGTTATTTAAGAAGCCTGAAAAATTTTAATGTTAGTTGTTCTCCATCTCTTACAGTGGTACAGAAATGTACCTTAGGCCCATTAGTGGAATCAGTAGCTCGTGTTTGTTCGGAAATCATCATGCTACATGACATTGCCTACAAGTAAAAATGAACAGAGATTAATTCTTCTGGAAGTCAACACATACGTTTGACTTGATATAAAAGTCAAACACTGTCCTCCAAGAAAAATATGTTTTACTTACACATGCCTGTATTTCTCTGCAGAAATCCATGTGGAGGTCATTTTGCAATTTCATCATGACAGTCTCAAATTTGTCTGATAAAGCTGAAATATGTGAGATCATTGCCTCCAAATTCTCTTGGTTCACTTTCTGCTTGAGTTGATCAGACAAGGATTGCAGGCCTACATCCAGGCACAGTTTGATGCCTTCTTGACCTTTGCTCTGGTTAATTATAGATAATTGACTTAAAATCCCAGAGATAAATAGCTAATTGGCTTCAATGACATGGGCATGTCAGGATAGCAAAGAAATTTAAGGGCTGGAATGGAAAATTGCACCATTAATTGCAGTGAGTTATCTTGGACATTAAGTTTCTGCTCCACAGCTTTCACTGATCACGAAAAACTTACGTCAATTTGGTAGCAAATTACTATAATATTTGGCATTTAGAGCATGAATGAGATCAACTATTACTGGCAGTGAATATTGAATTACCCAAAAAAAGCTAACAAAATTCACATAATGATTTACTGAAATGCACACCATTTCTGAAATTTAGATAGAAAGCTGTCTCAAGTGAAGCACTCTGTGAATGAGCAAAAAAAGTTCTCATTAACATGGTTAATCTAGTTTTCCATTTTCAAGACAGAGGTGTGGTATACTCACGTTCTAATGATACTTCCTTTGTACACCTGTTTACTTGGATTATGTCACTCTGAACAGTGTCCAGTAGCATATGAAGCCTGCTTAATGACGTTTCCATCACTCCAATTCTGTGCTCAAGTTCTTCACTATTCTGACCTGCTAGTCCAAGGTAAGAAGTCTAAAGTTTAAAGTCTAACTTCAATAAAATGAGAAACATCATGATACCTTTTTTTTTTTAAGAAGAAACAAGAACCATAGTTTCCGTTAGAAAAAAACATGTATAGCTCCAGGTATAACTACTGGAACACTTAAAGAATAATTAGAATGCTGAATAGTCCACCTGCAGGCTAAATTAACAAACAAACCAACCAAGTATAACTGGATAAGTAGCTGCATTCTCTATCAAATGTGAATCTTACTTTTGTATTCTTGACCAGACCACCTGTGCATCAAATTATTGGAAGTTCTAGATGCCATCAATTGACTGTCCTCTCTAGTGTGACTTACTGGAGGCTGGCAAGATGACCTTCTTGCTGAATTCTCTCGTTCTTGATATCCCAATTTCTACAAATATTTTTGGAAGTTAGAGGCAACTTAAAAGACCAGGGTGATCAAACTAACAACGTTGAAGTTAAAAGAACAAAATAAGCTTCATCCCAAATACATATGATTTTTTTTCCTGATTTTGATACATTCAGTCAAAAGAATGGTCTAATTCTTTAGAAGGGCATGAAAGCCAGTCTACAATATAGTATTGAATGGGAAAAAGAAAATATGCGACTGATCAACTAATTTACATAATTCCAATAATTCTCAATAAACTGCATCACCATTTATAAAGGAACTAATCGGTAATATCTCTTGGAGGTCTTATCTAAACTGTAAGTTTCTGCGAAAATAGATATTCATTACAGTTGACTGCTAATGCCACTGAAAATCATCTCCTTCTCATATTGATGGTAAAATCCACCGGTTTATCATTTCAGATAATTATAGAACTTCCAAAATGTTGTAAATTAACAGCAATACACAATGAATCGCACCATCCAAAAGCAAAAGGAATATAAGACAAGGTAATTGATCAAGTTATATCTTGACATTCACAACATTTTCCGGTGAAAAAGAGTGCCATCGATCACTTTCTCTAGTCTTAGATGAACATGCATATAATGAAGTATAAGAACAATCACCGACACGTACAGTTTCTTCTTCTGAACAAAATGTTCTATAACAGTTCAACACCATTCCACATCTAAAACTTTGAGTAATTCAGGTACCTACTAATGCATGCATATAGCACACATTTACTACCTCGGCCGTGAGGATCTCATCCTGTGAATTCTGTGAAAACTGAGAGAAGATGCCATGCTGAGATGAAACTCCCTGTGAAAGTGTCAGCTGCGAGTGTTGTGGCCGAAGCTGTGGTGCTGTTTGCCGTCTCCCAAAGGTCGAAGAAGACTCTAATCCACCCGTAACCACACTCGACCTCCTTATTGTTCATCACCATAAACACATATATACATACAAGAAGCAAAATCATGAATCAGTATCACAAAAAGAAAATCGTCAGCAAATAATTCCAGCAACACCACCATTGTTGCCAGTAAAATAGCCACCGATTCACCGTTTTCAACACTTCCTGAATTCATAACTGGAAGATCTTTCATTGCATTCTTCTCGTAACTATGCATCAATGCTTACACATAAAGCGACTAAAACTAAAAACCACCAAATCTAATTGCACTGTGCCTATCCGTCTATGCTAATTCTCAATCAAACACGTCATAACCTCTGCGTGTGTGTGGGCGTGTGCCTGAATCTACAGCAAACTCTTTCATATCGCCATCACACACACACACACACACACACACACACACACAGAGCGAAAGAGAGAGATGGCACTTTGAGAATAAATCGAACCTCATTTGAGGAGGAAGAACGGAGATGGAGCTTAGATCGATGGCTTTGTTGATTTTCATTTTCATCGCCGGAAATCAAAATCTCGGCGAGCGTTTGAGAATAACTTGTAACTTTTCAATCGCTGGTGTAATCGCTTTCGTCTTCTCCTCCGGTGGTGTATTCTGGTTTTGGTGAGAAATGGAGCGAGTGAGGTACATGGACAGATGGACTGCACTTATAGTGAGAAAATTGGGCTCGGCGAAATTGGCGGGAAATGGGTGTGAATAAGAATGACTGAATGACATTTGGTTTCCATTTTTTTTTTTTCTTTTGTATATTAATTCAAAACGTGTTGAGTCTAGGTGGCAGATTCTCACGTTTCGAATGCTGACATGGCGAAAATTTATGCTTCGTTATGTTGTTTTTATATTATTCTTGTTCTGGAGTTAAATTTCGTATTAGACATAAAT